CAACCGAGAGGCTCGGTAGCAGGGAGGACCGCACCACGAACGCCATGCCGTACCCCGCAAGCATGTCCGCGCGAGAGATTGCCATCGTGAAGAGGTTCTACGCGAAGTCCCAGTTCGCCGCCACCACCCTCTCCGTGTTTGGAACCCCGATGCTGTCCTTCCTGTCCGTGCTGGCCATCGAGGTGGCGTCTTTTCTCATGACGCTGGTGCGGAAGGGGAAGATCGAGGCTCGCACGTACCACGCTCTCTACGGCTTGGGGCTATCTCGCGGGCCTCGCCTTCGGCCGCCTGCCCCCCCCCTCTGAGTGCCTGCCGAGCTGTGCGTGCTCGGTCGGTCAGTCCTTTGGCAGTTGGTTCCTCCTCCTCCTCCTCCTCCTCCTCCTCCTCCTCCTCCTCCCTCCTCCCCTTCCTCCTCCTCCTCCTCCTCCTCCTCCTCCTCCTCCTCCTCCTCCTCCTCCTCCTCCTCCTCCTCCTCCTCCTCCTCCTCCTCCCCCCCTCCTCATCCTCCGCATCCCCCTGCTCGGTCGGTCAGTCCTTTGGCAGTGATTGGTTGGCCGCTTCACCAAGCAGTTGGTCGGCAGTTGGCTCTGGAGCTGGCTGCGGCTCGGCCGGTTGTGCCTCGGGAGCTCGCTTTTTCCACTGCACATTGCGGGTGCTCGCGGCGTGGGGAGCGCGCATCCCTCGCCACTCTTCGTCGTGAGTTCGTGGCCTCGGGCCCCTTGCCGCTGGCAGAGTTTTCGGGAAGCGGCGCGGCGGCCGAGGCAACGCCCACCGAGCGCAGGACCCAGAGAAGAACATGCCACCCTTTCGGCTGTGGAAGCGGGGGGAAGGATTGGAGAAGGGGGGAGGAGGAGGAGGAGGAGGAGGAGGAGGAGGAGGAGGAGGAGGAGGAGGAGGAGGAGGAGGAGGCGGAGGCGGAGGAGGAGGGAGGAGGAGGGAGGAGGAGAGAGGAGGAGGAGGAGGGGGGAGGGGGGGGAGGGTAGGAGGTGGGAGGGCGGAGGGAGGGGGGGGGGGGGGAGGGAGGGAGGGGAGGAGGAGGAGGAGGAGAGAGGGGGGGAGGGGGGGGGCGCTTTTGAGCAGCCTCCATGGGGTGGGTGCGTGGCCCCGGGTAGCGCAAACGTGTAGCACATTGTGGTGTGAAGGAGCGGGGCTTCGGGAGCGCGGCCTCGCACTGCAGTGGGGGCCCATGCCAAGAAGCACCCTGCTTGCCTCCAGGGTGTCCTGGTGGTCCTGGGGTACGGTGGTGTTGCGATGGAGAGCGCGACGGTCCCACACCAGAACTCAACGGACACCCTGGGGTCGCAGGGTTGGGTTTCTTGTGGAAGTTTCTTGTGGACGAGCTCCTGCTGTAATCCGCAAGGGGCTGCTTCCTCGGGAGCGCGAGAGGGTTGTAAGTTGCATTGGGCTGTGGCCTCGGCAGCGCGGCCGTGCCGCACTTCACGGGGGATGGGGAGCGCGACACTGATGCCATCTGGCAGGGGTGTGGATGCGGGAGTGCGGCCCCGACGTAAGGTGCAAAGAATTGCGGCATCTGGAGCGCGAGAGCTCTGTACTCGATCACGGACTGCGGCCTCGGGAGCGCGAGTTCGTTTCAATCTGCGCTGGAGTGCGGCCTCCGGAGGCCGAGCGCGTCGTGCTGCATAAAGGGCTGTGGCCTCCAGGGCGCTTGGCATCGCTCGGACGTGTGCATTTTTCCTTCGGCGAGGACCATCGAGGAGCATCCGTGACCATCTGGCGGAAAAAAACACGCACGAAACCCGAAAAAGGCACAGTGGATGGACGTCCGAGCGATGGCCAGGGCGCGCGAGCGCGACATCATCGAATGGGGGCTGTGGCCTCGGGAGCACGTGCGCGCCGTGCGTCACGAGGGACTGTGGCCTCGGGGGCGCGGGCGCGGAGTAATCTCCAGGGGAGCGGGGCCTCGCAGGCGTGAAGTCGGGCCTGTCCCTCCACAGGAGGGGTATTCAAAAATAGTCAAACAATAGTCTGGGGACTATGTTTTGACTATGTTAGAGCATTTGGGGGGTATGTGTTTGAGTATTTTTTCAAGTTTTCGCTCAAAGTCCCCCTGTCGGGGGACAGGCCCGACTTAAGGCAGGCGCGGGCGCATCGTAGTTTAGAGGGCGGTGCGGCCTCGGGCGCGCGACACCGTCGTCAGTTACAACGGCTTGTGGCCTCGAGGGCACGAGCGTGGCGTAGCTTACGAAGGATTCCGGCCTCGGGAGCGCGAGCGCGCGGACATTCCCCAAGCAGTGCTTGCACTGAAGGGGTCCTAGCGGAAGTTGAAAGATTTTGCGAAAGTTTCCCGCCGAGTTTGGTTGGAGGGCACGAGCGTGGCGTAGCTTACGAAGGATTCCGGCTTCGGGAGCGGGAGCGCGAGCGCGCGGACGTTCCCCAAGCAGTGCTTGCAAGGAAGGGGTCCTGGCGGAAGGTGGAAGATTTTGCGAACGTTTCCCGCCGAGTTGGGTAGCAGGCTGGGTTCCCGGGCTCCCAGTTTTCCAGATTCCCGGGTTCCCGCTGATTGGTTCCGGGCCAATTTCGGTGGGTTCTGGGTTCCCGGGCTCCCGGGTTCCAGGTCGATCTCCTCAGCGAAAACCATCCATTGATGGAGGTTTTTCTCTAATTTACAATAATGTGGTTTCGGGAGCGCGACAGAGCAGTCATTTACACGGGTTTGTCGGGAGCACCACAGCGTGAGAGTTTTGGGAGCGATGGTGGCCTCGGGAGCGCGAACCGGTCGGACTGTCATGTGTCCTGGCGCCCTAGGCAATTCGGAGCACGTGCTTCTGGGAGGGTACTGGGATGCTTTTCGGGTTGGGGTCCCCGCGCGATCATTGCAACATTGGAACCGTAAGCCATAAAACATCACATTGGGAAGTGGAAGTGTGGCGGGGAGCAGGATCGCCTAGGCCTCGCAGCCTGTTGGCCCTCAAGGGGCCAGCGGATTTGTCATGCTCCCTGCCCTCGTGGCTACGCTGCTCTCTGGCGATCTTGAGGCTGAGCTGGCAACCTATCGGGCGCTGTGTGTCGCCTGCGTGGCCGTGCAGGGGCGCCTCGTCTGGAAGTGGGGGAAGTATTTTACGTGGGTCGTCTCCCCGGTGGTTGGCTGCGTGATGGCCTCCGCGCTGGCCAGTGCGGTACACTTCAAGTGGGTCTGCTGGATCGGAATGGCCTGGTCGGCAGGCGAGACCTTGCTATACCGGCCAGAGCAGCCGAAAGCCAGTGGCACAGAGTGTCCAGCGGCCAAGACGTCTGGCAGGGGCAGCTCCTTCTTCGGCTGGGTCGCGGCCCGGCCGATCCTGTGGAACGCGTGACGCGGCAGCCCCCATCCCCCTTCTCCCCGGGAAGCCGAATCCCACCTAGGAGAGGTTCCCAGCCTCCCTGAAGCTCCTCTTCCCTCTCTTCCTCCTCCTGTCCCTCTTCCAGTCACGTCGCATCTTCGGAGGACCTTGCCTGCCCTGGAAGTAGCGTTGTCTACTGTAACTCCGCGTGGGCTCGACGCGGATTTGACGTGGACTCGGATTCGACGCGTATTCGATGCGCTCGGCATGTATTCGACGCGGACAGCTTGCGCGACGGGACAGACGAGGTCACCCGAGGATCCAGCACGGGCACAGCTACCCTGATACGCCCGTGTCGAAAACGCAACACGTGCCGTGTTCAAAACGTACGTGATGACACGCTGCGAGTTGGCTTGGCACGTGTAGGGCCACGTTTTGGCGAACATGTCGCGTCATAACCACGTCTTTTTCGGTAGCAAGTCATGCGGGCCTGGTATACCCTCTTAATTCCGTCTTCAGCGTCGATTGGCGTCCGGGAGTCGATGAGATGTGCCGATTTAGCGTCGGTTAGCGTCGATTTAGCGTCGACTTAGCGTCGATGTAGCGTTGAGGAGCGTCGATTCCGCAAGAGCCGACGAGGTGGTATGGGAGGCTTCCATGAGCTTTGCCGCCGAACGTTCTCAGTCCGCGTGCTGAGCTCCGTGCCAACGCGCTGCGTTCTGCGCGTGGCGCACAAAGAGCAGCCTCGGGCGTCCTCCTCCTACCCCTCCTCCTTCCCCTCCTCCTCCTCCTCCTCCTCCTCCTCCTCCTCCTCCTCCTCCTCCCCCTCCTCCTCCTCCTCCTTCCCCTCCTCCTCCTCCTCCTCCTCCTCCTCCTCCTCCTCCTCCTCCTGCTCCTGCTCCTCCTCCTCCTTCTCCTCCTTCCTCCTCCCTGTCCTGCCCCCTCCGCGGCCCGCCGGCCGTCGATCGCGTGGGCGCTCGCCGACGAGGCCGCCCGAGGCGGCCGCCCGGGCGCTGCGCGGCCCCGCTACGTCGGCCTCCCGCCGCTCGAGGCCGCTGGGCGCCGCAGCCTCTCGAGGGGCGGGGGCCCCCCCCGGGCAGCGCCCGCCGGGGCCCTCGCCTCCCCAGCCCCGCAGAGGAGCAGGAGAAGGACGAGAGTCAGGAGGAGAAGAAACGCACAGACACACCATGAATATCCTCGATTCCCCAGGAAATAGGGGAACATAACTGCGAAGTGGGGGGGAAGACGAGAACCTGGAAACTGTGGGAAGATATGGGGAATCCCTTTATTTGTGTGTATTTATTTGTGTGTCCCAGGGCCCCTTCAGAGAAGGACGAGAAAGACGACGACGACGACCACCGTATCGTCGTCGTCGTCGTCGTCGTCGTCGTCGTCGTCGTCGTCGTCGTCGTCGTCGTCGTCGTCGTCGTCGTCGTCATCGCCGTCCTCGTCGTCCTCTCCTCACCGCAGCTGCGCAGTCTGGTTGTGGCTCTCCTCTCTCTCCCCCGGAGCCGTGCCGAGCACGGCGCCGCCTCCTTCCCCTCCCTCCCCGTGCTGTTCTCTGCGCACGGGGTTGTGGCTCGAGTAGGCTCTCTTCTGGTGCGCTGCTCCCGTCCAGACGTCTTCCGTCCTGCCGGTACGGCGCTCCTGCTGCAGCGTGGGCCTCATTTCTGAAGGGGCGTTGGGACACATAAATGAATACACACAAATAAAAGGATTTCCCATATTTTCCCATATTTTCTGGGTTTTTGTCTTCCCCCCCACTTCGCATATTTTCCCATATTTCTTGGGGAATCGACGATTAATTGTGTCTGTGTGTTTTTTCTCCTCCTGAATTTCGGCGGCGAGCCCGGGGGGGAAGTGAGAAGGAGAAGGCCCTCTCGGAAGGCTCGGAAGTCCCCCGGCCTTCGACGAGTGCTCTATAGTTCAGCCCTCCCCGAAGACCCAGCTAACACTTCTCAGAAGGCCGCGGAGGGCGTCCGAGAAGTCCCGCCGCCTTTTCTGGGAGAGCCGTCTCCTTCGCACTTCCCCCCCCCTCACTCGCCAAGGATCCTCTCAGGATCGACGCCCTGCTGCTCCCGTCGTTCCGGCTGGCGCTCTCGCCCCAGCGCGGGCCACGCGTTCTGGAGCCGTGGTTGCTCCCCCGGCGGCGTCGCCCCGCTCCCTGCCCCTCCTCCGCCTGGCGCTGTTCCTCCTGCTCATCCTCGCTCCTTCTGGTCCAGCTCCTGCTGCTGATGTGCGTCCTCGTCCTCCTCCCTCTTGCCTCCTCCCCCTCCTCTCCCTCTCTCCTTTCCCTCCTGATCATCCTCCTGCGCATCCGCCACCTCCTCCTCCAATGTGCGCGGCTCCTCCAGTCCCTAGTCCGATTGCGCATGGCGCGATGGTTTGTTTTCTGTTTGAGTTCCACGTTCGCTACGGCACGCGTCGGCGGTTAGAGAAAACATCAGCGCAATGGGAAGGAATGGGTGGGAGAGGTAGGAAGCCAGACAGGGCGCAAGCGCACCTAGCTCTTGTCATCCTCCCCCCTCCTCTCTTCTCGTCTCCATCCGCAGTCGATGACAGTCAGCCGTTGCGTCCTCGGACACGCTGCGTGGGGCGCGTGGCGGGGGCAAGTGGCCAATCGTGCCCTGCCTGCCACCGCACATTCACTGGCACTGGCGCGCCTGCAGGGAGACCCCTTGCGTAGGATGCTGCTGGACTCCGAGCCACCCGCCCTGCTCCGGCTCAATCATGGGCTCCTCCTCCTCCTCCTCCTCCCCCTCCTCCTCCTCCTCCTCCTCCTCAGTCCGGGCTCAGTCCGGGCTAAGCCGACTGGGGCTTCATTCGGGCGGGGCTAGGACGAGGATCAAATCGTTCCAGAGCGTCCCGGAACGCCCTGAGAGCGTTCTGGAACGCTCTGAGAAGGCCGCGGCGCCCGACACATCCTCCAGAGCTGCCGGATCCCAGAGCTCCTCGATGTATCCTCACCCGATGTTGTCTTCGTCCTGGCCTTGCCTTGCCAAGCCAGCCAAAAGTGGCCCGCTCATGGGGCTTCGCAGCCCATTGGCATCGCCCAGACATGTGCATCTTGTCGCGGCGAGGACCATCGAGGAGCATCCCTCGGCCACGCGCAGATGGGGGTAGGGGGAGAGGGCCTTGTCTGCAGATGAAGGACGGGCGCCTTCTAAGAAGCAACCTCCTTCTAAGAAGCCTTTCCCCCTCCCCCATACCCCCCCCTGCGCGCCGCCACTTCTCGCGGCGAGGACCATGGAGGAGCATCCCGAATCATCCTGCGAGGCATCAGCGCACGAAGCCGAACCATGCACGCGGAATGGACGACCGAGCGACGCCAAGGTCCCGTGGGCGCTGTTGCGGAGGAGAAGGAGGAGGCGAATGAGGAGGAGGAGGAGGAGGAGGAGGAGGAGGAGGAGGAGGAGAAGAAGAACGAGGAGGGGGAGGAGGAGAAGGAGGAGGAGAAGGAAACATGATGGACCCACGAACCCGGAAAGGGATATATAGACATGTGCAGCATGGTCACGTTTTCACGATACCCAACTGGGCGACACTTCACGAAACATCCCACGAGACACCCCGCGAAACATCCCACGAGACACCTCACGAAACATTCCACGAGACACCTCACGAAACATTCCACGAGACACCCCGTGAAACATTTCACGAGACACCCCACGACCAGTCAACCACTTAACCAGACACCCCACGACACATTCCACGGGGGTGCGACTGGGTGTGGTCGTGCTGGGGTGTGGTCGTGCCGGGGTGTGGTCGTGCTAGAGAGTGGTCGTGCTGGGATGTGGTCGTGCTGGGGTGTGGTCGTGCTGGAGAGTGGTCGTGCTGGGATGTGGTCGTGCTGGGGGGTGGTCGTGCTGGGGTGGGGTCGTGCTGGGGCGTGGTCGTGCTGGGACGTGGTCGTGCTGGGGTGAGGTCGTGCTGGGGTGTGGTCGTGCTGGGGCGTGGTCTTGCTGGGGCGGGGTCGTGCTGGGGTGGGGTCGTGCTGGGGTGTGGTCGTGCTGGGGTGTGGTCGTGCTGGGGTGTGGTCGTGCTGGGGTGTGGTCGTGCTGTGGGGTCGTGGGGCGTGGTCGTGCTGGGGTGTGATCGTGCTGGGGTGTGGTCGTGCTGGGGCGTGTCCGTGCTGGGGTGGGGTCGTGCTGGGGTGGGGTCGTGCTGGGATGTGGTCGTGCTGGGGTGGTCCGCACCCTGTGATTTATCGATCGGGTCGTGCTTGGGTGTGGTCGTGCTGGGGTGTGGTCGTTCTGGGGTGTGGTCGTGCTGGGGTATGGTTCTGGGGTGTGGTCGTGCTGGGGCGTGGTCGTGCTGGGGTGTAGTCGTGCTGGGGTGTGGTCGTGCTGGGGTGTGGTCGTGCTGAGGTGGCCCGCACCCTGAGATTTATCGATCGGGATTTCAAAAGCAAGCGTTTCGCCTGAGACATCCTCAAATGTTAATCCGCCGGCCCACCTCGACCTCGATATTCATCAGGGAAAGAATCCGCCGGCCCACCTCAGTTGAGACACCGGGGACAGGTTTTCCACACTAAAAGAGAACCCTGGGCCTGCGCCCTTTCCGGGAAAAGAGAAGGAGGAGGAGGAGGAGGAGCAGGAGAAGCAGGAGGAGGAGAAGGAGGAGGAGGAGGAGGAGGAGCAGGAGAAGCAGGAGGAGGAGGAGGAGGAGGAGAGGAAGTTGCTTCACAGCGCCTTGCTTGTCCACAGCTCGAGGCCTCCCCCGCGAGGGCCTTGCCTGCTGCGCGCCCCTGCTGCGCAGGCAGGCGGGGCGCAGACCGCTTGCGGCCCCGGCCTGGCGCAGAGCCGGGCCCGCGCGGAGAGCGCGCCTCCTGCCCGGGCGCGCGGTCGGGGGGCGTTTTCGTGCCTTCGGCCGCAGGGGCGGGCCAAAGTTTCGAGGCCAGCTGGTCAGAGGAGTGGAAGTAGGGGAGCAAAAAGTGACGTAAACATAGAAACTCGGAGGTCCGCGCGGATTTCTCGGATCGGCGCTGGGGCGCCCCGGCGGCGCCTCCGGCGCCGCCCCTGGCGCGCTCCGCGCGCCAGGGAGGGGGGTCCAGCGCCGATCCGAGAAGTCAGCGCGGACCTCCGAGTTTTTTTGTTTATGTCACTTTGTGTTCCCCTAAGTATGAAAGGTGCCCATGCCGCTACCCTTCGCCCGTTTTCTCCTTTTGGGGGGCCTCCTGGGAGGCCCCTGTCGCCACCGCTAGATTCGCCTCGGAATCCTGGTCCAAACGCACCCCTGGAGATGCCCGGGGAGTTTGGGTATCGGTACCTTTCGGTTTCCCCAGGCTGGAGCGCCTGGGGGGGAGCTGCCTGTGTGCAGCCCGAGGCCCTGCAGTCGGGCCGAGGTATGAGGTCGATGTTGGTTCGAGGAGGGTGCCCACAGTGCTTCGTGCTTGTGGGATGTCTCGTGCATCCTGGGGAGGGTGCCTTTGGATGTTCTGGTCGCTTGGACCGACGGAGGGTCTCATGTTCTAGAAGGATGTTATTCTGGCCTCGGTCCGACTGTACCAGGCCGCCACCGGCGAGGATACTCTGCAGTTGCTCGTCGCGGCGGGCCAAATTCAGAGGAGGAGAAGGCACCCATTCCGCTACACGCCAGTCGTTGAAAGGAGGTATTGTTGGACTCCCAGATCCCAGTCAGCTGCAAGCGCCGTCCTACTTCAAGAATCGATGTATCTTTGCTGTGTGCTGTTATTCTCTGGGATGGCCTGGACCAAATCTGCCTGATCCGCCTTCTTTTTTCACGCTTATACCTGCTTCTTGCGACTGACGTGTACCCTTTCCCTCGTCTTCCCCTTCTTGGGCCTACCGGGAGGCCCCCGTCGTTACCGCTGGATTCGCTTTGAAGTTTTGGTCAGACCGCACCCTGGGAGAGGTCTGAGGAGTACGATGGGGGCGTCCGACAAGGAATGTACCAGGAGGCTCCAGACCCTGGAGGATCCCTTCTCTGGGAAGGGCGGCGGTGATGTCCGTGGCCAAGCCTCGATTGGTGGTCCACCAACTTCCAGACCCTGAATTCCTTATACTTATCCTTATTGAGGGGGTGACCGCGGAACTCCCGTTCTCAGTCCGTCGGGGGGCGGGCTTTTTGTACCCGTTTCAGGGACCACGCTCTGGGGCGTGACCAGCGAGGCGATTGCGAGTATTCAGCTGAGTGTCACGATTCCTTTTCGCTGGCAGGCGAATTCAAACACATCGTGAAACGGCCCTCCTAAGCTGCCGAACGAAAGACAGATGTCCCTTGTGCACTGCCCGCCCCGCAGCGGCAGCGGTGTCGGTGCCTCTCGGCTCCCCCAGGCCGGGGCCGCCCGGGAGGGGGAGGGGGGGAGGGCTGCCCGTGCGCGGCCCGGGGCCCGGCAGCCGGGCCGAGGCGGGAGGTCGAGGCTGGTTCGGGGAGGGTGCCCCCAGCGCTCCTCTCCGAGGCCCGAAAACCATCACTTCACTAATTTTGGGCCCCAGGGCCCACTGAGGCCCCAGGGGCCCCAGATTAGTGAAGTGATGCTTTTTCCAACGTAAGGACCCCGAAATTCATCACTTCACGAAACCGAGCCCAGGCCGAAAGTCAGGGGCCGAATTGCTGCTGTGATGCCACATCGGCCTCGTATCTTCGTGCGTGTGGGATGCTCTCGTGCAGCCCGAGGCCCTGCCGTCGGGCCGCGTTCTGAGGTCGAGGTTGGTGCGGGAAGGGTGCCCCCAGTGCTTCGTGCTTGCGGGATGTTCCCGTGCATCCTGGGGAGGGTGCCGGGTACCCCTGGACGTTCTGTCTGGATGTGCCCCAGGAGTCAAGCAGTGGCGAAGCGTCCTGGCTCGCCTATAGCCCTGCCAAGCAATGTTCTAAGAACCTCTTGTGGTTTCCAGGAAATGTTCTTAGAACATTTCTGGTTGATAGTGTTTTGTTTTAACACATCGGGGTTACGTTCTAAGAACATTGTTTTTGTTCCTAGAACATTGTGGGGTTCTAAGAACATCTCGTGGTAGGACTATAGGAATGCCGGGACGGTCGGTCCCTGCTCAAAGGGGAGGTCCGGGGAGTGGCGGTGTCGGTGCCTCTCGGCCTCCCCGCAGGTGTGCCACATTTTTCTGCCCGGTGGTGCCGCGCCGGCTCTTTGGCAGCCGCGCGCGTGCCCCCACTTCGGGCGGCAGCGCCGGGCGACAGGTTGCCGGGCCCCTCAACCTCGGCGGCGAGCGAGGGGGGGGAAGCGAGAAGGAGAGGGCCTTCTCAGATGGCAGCGGGGCCTTGCAGAAGCCCTCGCGCCTTCTGAGAGGAGTTTTCTTTCTGTCTTCGGGGGAAGGCTTGGGAGACTTCTCAGGAGGCCGGGGGACTCCCTGCTCACTTCCCCCCGTGCTCGCCGCCGATCAACTACGGTAGGTTCGTGCCTTGTCGGCGTGGCGTCGACCCCGCCGCGGGCGTTCAAGGTTGAACGCCGCCAGCGGCCCAGAATCGGCCAACATGGAACGATCTGACGATCGAGAAGCTGCCGATCGCTGAATGTTTAACGATCCACGCGGTGTCAGAGATCAACGCCAGGGTCGTCATGGCACGAACCTGCCTTATGCCTCGTCAGGGCGGACCTGCACGAGCAAGCGCCGCGTCTCTGCCCCGCGAACTTCGCTCCCCTGTCGGTAATCGATCACGCTCTTGATCCAGACCTCCGTCTCCTTGCCTGGCATCTCTCGGACGCGCATTGTTTCTCGGCGGGGACCATCGAGGAGCTTCCCGGATCATCTTGCGAAACATATGCACACGAAATCGGAACATGCACGAGGAACGGACGTCCGAGCGACGGTCAGCTTGGTGTCGGCCTGCTCGAGAAAGACCTTGTAGAGACCGCCGCCCCGCACCACGGGCGCGCTTTGACCGAGCCGTGCAAAACAGGAGGATCGCCTCCGCCGTCACCATCCTCCTCCTCATCCTCCTCCGTAGCCAGTTTGGCTCAAGCCATTATGCCTCAAGACGTTTGGGCTACCACTGCACGCGGGCAGCAGACCGAACGCTTCCTTGTTCGACAATATTGTGAATGGTTTTCGAACGCACGCAGTCGACCGACCGCTACTTGTGTTGGCAGTCGTCTCATACTCCGCTTGTCCCTGCCGATCTTCAAGGCAAGTTTGGCGAGAGTCCACCAGCTGGCAATCAGAGTGGTCAGGCATCGGCCTCTGCCAGCGCACGAACGCCTCTGAGCAGCAAGGCCGGAAGCTTTACGCCTTTGGCTTGCAATGCTGCGGTGTTCGCTCCCGGCTGCCCACAGACGACGGGCGCGTTCTGCCGCGCCCTTGCCTCGCCAGGACAGGGGCCTAGTCTTGACATCCAACATTCAGCGACTGATAGCAAGCACTATGCGACGTTGATCGTGAGAAATGTGCCCTACGGTATCACACGCGATGAGTTGATCGATGCGATGAACGGGGAAAAGTTCGAAGGAGCATACGATTATGTCTACCTGCCAAGAGATTTCAGTACCCACCAGGGCAACGGGCACGCTTTCGTGAACTCCGAGCGGGTCACCAGCACATCCGAGATCGGGCCGCCCTGGCGGCGGGCGGGAGCTATGCTCGGTAAGTCGAGCGTCCCGATCACCACCCTGATGCTCCGCAACTTGCCCCGGGTGTGCATTCAGGAGCAGCTTCTGAAGGAGATCCAGCACGCGTTTGGTAGCAAGGTGGACTTCAACTTTCTGCACGTGCCCTGGGACTCGCATCTCAGCCGCAACGTAGGCTACGCTTTCCTGAACTGGGGGGCGGGCGCGCCAACGCCTCACCCTCCTACGCCGTGTACCTCATGCGGCCGGGGCGATCGGCTTTGTCTGTGGATGTGAGAGGTCTTGCAGACAATACGGTCGCGTCTACAGACCCTCTTGACTGGGGGACATGAGGGAGATGCTGATTCACGGTCGGTGTCGACCCAGCCACCGCGCTGGGACCGCTGGTGGTTGCTTCTGGTGAGCTTGACGCTATCGTGTGGATGTTGCAGTGCACTCGTTGGCACCAGGACCAAGGTTCACGTCTTGTCTGGATGGACTCGGCGCTTCTGCGCTCCAGGTTTCGAGGCCTGGCGGACGTCTCAGTGCGGGGGTGAGAGATCCACTGAGGGCGTAGACCATCTCAGTGCGGGGGTGAGAGACCCACTGAGGTACCCTGGTCTGTGGATCGTGTCCCAGGCTTGCGCTGCTCAGGTCTGCTCTGTAGTGTGATGTTCCCCGGCGGCGTCATCGGCAACGAACTCGTGATGCGCATATCGACGTCAACACGTCTTCTGACTGGCATGCCTTTCGGATGTCCCTGTTCAGTTAGGGATCACCTTTTCGTCATTACCGCCGACCCTTTGTATAGACCCTCGCATAACTGGGCTTTATAGCGGTCCACTCGACATTTTGCCTTGAGGCGGGGACAATCGCTGACTCGTTTATCTCTGTCGCCTTTATCTCTGCAGCGTGGCTGGGCAACTTTTCACAAGGTGCGCTCATGTGAAGCATAGGCCGCGGTGGCTCCAACAGGCCTTGTGAACTAGTTGCGAACAAGTTCACAAAAGGAGCAAATTGTTGCACAAGTTTACCCTTGTGAACTACACCTCCCATGTAGCATCATTGTGCAGGTCGGGGGCTTTCCGTTTCACCTGGCCTGCCCTGTGTAGTTTCGCACTCCAGGTAACCAGTGCGCTCTGAGCGCGACCGTAGCGTCCGCCCTGAGCAGTTTACCATTTCCCTAGGGGATGCGATGCGTCTCCGCGGGCTCAGAGGACAGGTAGCCCCTGTTCATTTTCACTTTTACGCTTTCCTGAACTCCATCAGCACACAACAAGCAGCTGCGTCCGCGCCTCCATCGAGGACACGCGTGGGCAACGGGGCGAGACCACCTTCAACCGGGGGCTGGTCTCGGCGAAGTGTTGCAACGACGGTAACCGCCAGCAGGAGCGTGAGCTGGGTCGTGCTGATTTTCATGATGCTGTTGCCCTATGCCGACGGCGTCAAGACGGGCCTCAACGTGACCTCAGAGTGCTACAACTCCACGGTCTTCCAGGGCCTCGCGTCATGTACTTTCACAAGGTGCTCATCACTTTGGGGGGAAGCTTGTTGGGTTATATGTTTCACTATCTAGTTCTTTTGGGATGACCTGCTACGTGCCTGGGGCTCGTGCGCATGAGGCAGGTTTGGTGCAACAGTCGTAGTCGTAAACCTGCCCCACAATACGATTCATCATCATCTCAATTGGTTTTGCTTGGCTCGAGGCGAACTGTGTCCAGCGCTCGGCGTGCAGGACCTGCACGCTGCCGTGGCCCTCGTGGGCGAGGTGATCACGGAGACTGTCGGGGCATCGAGGGCGAGGCCTTCTCCGACGACTCATTCCTCTTGTGCTTCCTGGCGCTGGCCTTTTGTGGCGCCGGAGGCGGCTCCGCCGTCCTATACGGCGCACGCTGCGCCAGGGAAGCCACCATCTGGCTCTTGCTGCCTCGCGCCTGCGCTTGGGGCAGGAGCAATACCTTCGGCTACATGGGGCTGGGCCTGCACGTCCAGACCGTTACGGCCAGCACGACCACGCCGCAGCCGATGATTCAGATCCTCGTGTTCTGCATCCTGCAGGTATTCCCATCTTGCAGCGCGTGCAGCATGCGGCACGTCACTGCGTTCAACTGGGTGGTGCTCTTCTTTACCCAGATCGTCTACTTCTTGGTCTGGGTGCTCTTCTTCACCCGCTTCGACTGCTTCTGGGTCTGGGTGCCCTTCCTCATCCGGGTCGCCTACTTCTGGGTTCGGGTGCTCTGCGTCGCCTGGTTCGACTACTCCTGGGTCTGGGTGCTCTTCGTCACCCGGTCCGGCTACTTCTTGCACGACTTCGCAGTCCCCATCCGGGCGCCGAGGCGCGCCCCAGGCCTGCCTTCGGACGGCCGAACCCCCAGCCAGCCGGGGCCGCTGGGCCCCCAGCTCCGCGGAGGAGGACGGCGCGACGACGCCCTCTTGGCTGGCCTCGGACCCTGCCGTCGAAGTTCTCGGACACTGCCGCTGGACCCCCAGCTACCAGGACGGGGGCGCCGCAACCCTCGGGCCCCCGAGCCTCGAAAACCAGGCGCCGGAAAGCGCGGCGCCAGGCGAAGGGCGCTGAGGGGTCGGTCGGAGCCCTGAAGCGCGTCGTGGAGCGGACCAAGAAGGAGCACACGGCCGACGCCCTGTTGGCCAAGCTCCGGCGCCTCGTCACCGCGGCCTCGGAGGGCAAGCTCGCCAAGCAGCCCGCCAAGGCTACTTCTGCACCTGCACCGAAGGCGGCTACAAAGTCGAAGGCGGCTGCCAAGCCGAAGGCAGCTGCCAAGCCGCCGACGGCACGGCAGCCAGCAGAGCACTTGCTGGGCGCGGCTTCCGCGCCGCCCGCGCTGGCGCGCACATCTCCATCGAGTTTTTCACCCGCGACGTTGCGCCCAGAGCACTGGCACGGACAACTTGCAGCGGATGGGATCAACTCGCTCTTCGGGATCCAGGCCAACGAACACTTAGTGCACGGCGTCGTCCACAAGCCGCCCGACGGCCTGGCCAACCACTTGCCGCAGGACGCTAGTATTGCGGTACTCTTGGATCTCCCTGCTGAGGGTGCGGTGCCCCTGCGAGCGCCTGCGCTCGACGACAAGGGCATGCCCAAAGTCGTCCCTATGTACCTTCTGCAGTTGGGCAAGGCCGTGAACGTCCTCAAGTGGAAGGCCCAGCCGGGTAAGCCGCTCCCAGCGGCTACACCAACACGAGTGGTGCGCCTCGCTTGTTTCAGGTCTTTGCTCCCTGACAAGGATTGGAAGGAGCGCTCCAAGAACATCAAGGCGGCGGCGAAGCTCTGGCTTGCCAACCTCCGGGTGCCGACCGACGACATCGCGGACATCTTCGGCCCGCGTGAGTCAGAAGACGGCGACACCATCTCTTTGAACGTTCGTGTGGCCGCGTCGCGTGCGGCAGCGATTGATGGAGCCAGTGGCGTCGCTGGAGTGCTTGCGCGGCTTCTCCCTGAGGATCCCAAGGCAACGCATACCTTCGGCAGCGTGCAGTGGAACAAGCGCCAGGACGGCGAGTCAGGCGCGGCGCTCCTTATCCGCGCCCGTTCCGAGACAGAGAAGGAGTCGCCGTGCCTCGGCCTGGCCTTCTCCAGCGCGGGTTCGGCGGGCCTGTGCAAAACCGGGGGCCGCGAGGCCACCTCTTGGAAGGTTTCTGGGCTACACAAGGCCTTATCTATTCCTCAGTTCGCTGCTTGGCTTAAGACCAGCGGCTGGCCTGACATTGATTCGTCGTCTGTGCGCCGTCGAGTTGCTAACCGCACGGCCACGTTCATCTTCCGCGGCGCCAGCCCGGGAGGAGCGAACATAGCTACGACGATCGAAGCGACTGCTGGGGGTGAGTATGTATTCGTTGACTTCGAGCCGTTCCGCCCCGCTCAGAAGGCACTTGCTTTCCACAACCTTCGGGCCAGTGACCTACGTTGGGATGTGCCCCAGCCTGCGGCGGAGACATCGGCGAAGGTCAACCAGTCCGACTTCGCGGCCAAGGAGGTCCCAGAAGCGAAGCGCCAGCGTCGTCCTGACGGCGCTGCCGCGCCAACGGCCGGCGGCGAGATCCCCCAGGAGGAGGTCTTCACCAAGTTCGGCCTCACGGTCAAAAC